AAAGAAAATAAGTTTATCAGCATATACCAGGTTGCTAAGGAAATTACGCAAGTAATATTTCTTATTTGTTATTCGTAAATGCATACAATTTCCATGAGAACTGTGACCGTTCCCACGACTAAGCTGAGCTAAATCTAAGCGCTTCTTTAATGCAGCTTAAGCTATAAGGCATTATCGTGGGAATTGTATGTATTGACACCTTGCCAAATTTCTATAAAAGCACAACATTTTCTAATAAACATTCATTCAATACCAAACATTCCTTGAGTTTTAATTAGTTCAAGTGCTCATTAAAACTTAAACGCAAATAGATACAAGTGCCTAGTTGCTCAAAAATATTATTTGAATTCACCTGAAGTTAGTTCAAGTGCCAAATTCAGGTTTTTCAATAGGAACTGGTTCAAGTGCCAGATTCCTAAACATAAGCAACACTGAATCAATTCAAGTGTCGATTCAGTTTCAAAAAGAAACGACTTATTGAACATTTTTGGTGACCCCGACGTGATTCACCGTAAGTATCACGTTATCATCAATCAAGTGAACCTGCTCAGAAGGGTGGTATTGCTGTATTTACAACCATGGAAGTCATGGCAGAATTGATTGCCAAACAATCAGAATTGGGAAAACAAATCCAACAACTGATCACTAACTTCAAAAAGGACTCAAAAGAGAGGAAGACATCCCCTCGCTACTATGAAGAGCGTATTAGGCGACTCAACGAATTATGGGAACAATTTGATCATAACGACACACAAATCAGGAATTTGCCAGATTTGGATACGAGCGTTTCATATTTTACCAACAACTACTTTCAGGAAATCAAGGGATTATTTGAAAAATATGAGCAGATTTTCGAAAATGAATTGTCAACCAAAATACCTCCAACACTTTCCTCAAAGGAGTCAGCAACGACAGCACGTCAACCGATGCCGTCACCGAGGGAAGGACAATATAGCACGAGTATAACACGAATGATACACAAGCAAGGTGCAATTTGTGTATCACTGAAGCGACTCATAGCAGGCATCAATCGTCAAACAGGCGTTCAGATGAAATCCTTTTATGAAGTGAATATGGGAAGAATTGAGAAGCTATGGAATGAGATTGAATCCATTAATTTTGAAATTTGGGAGTACACCAACAATCCGACTACAGTGGGATATAAACTCGATGAGTATCTCGAAATAGAAGAATTGGTTCAGTCAACTTTAATTTCGTTAGCTTCAATGAAAGCAAATAATGAACAATTACAACAAGGAATCAGTAAACCAGACAGCGCTGGGATATCACTGCCTAAGGTAACAATACCAAAATTCGATGGCGATTATTTGAAGTGGTGTCAATTCTATGATTTGTTCACCGAAATGATTCACAAGCAGCAGCCTTCTAACGCTCAGAAAATGTGGTACCTCAAAGGTAGTTTAACAGGAGAAGCAGAAGGTTTAGTCCGACACCTGTCAATAACCAACGAGAATTATCAAACGGCTTGGAATCTGCTACAAGAACGATATCACAACAAAAGAATTATTGTAGCAACAATCATTCAAAGAATTCTAAATCAACCAATAATATCAACCAATCCTTCAGCGACAGAAATAAGGACACTCCATGATGTTACTTTTGAAGGATTGCTGGCACTGAAGAATGTGGGACTCGAAACTGATTCATGGTCGCCGCTACTGCTTCATAGTTTGCTCCTCAAACTAGATAAGCAGACTCGCATTTTGTATGAACAGTCGCTGACTCATCCAAGAGAGATTCAGTCGATTAAGGAGTTCATGATTTTTCTGGAATCACGATTCCAGTCCTTAGAGGCGATTGGTCATAGGGAGAAGCCATGCTCAGCAAAAACCCTTGCCACAACTATGGGGTAGGCAAATATATCAACCTGTAAGATCTGTAATAATGGATCACATCCGATATATTATTGCAAAACATTCTTGCAATCAACACCACAAGGTCGTATCAAGACAGTACAAAAACTTAGACTGTGCTTGAACTGCTTACGTACAGGCCATAGGGCAGCAGAATGCAAAAGTTCCCGGTGCAACAAGTGCAGCAAGAACCACAATTCGTTGTTGCACTTATCAGAGTCTTCTAAGACAACACACAAATCAATCAATGTCAAATCAGATTCATTGGTTGAGAAACCTGGTCATCAACCTTCTACTGTAATCACAGCATTAACACAAAATAAGGGATACGTTCTTCTTAGTACAGTTAATATGAAAATAGCTACGTTTGATGGTGATTTCATCGAGTGCAGAGCAATACTCGATTCTGGATCACAAATAAACTTAATCACAGAAAAACTGGCAAGAAAATTAAAATTGCAGTTACACTCATCACCGTTATGGATAGAAGGAATTGGTAGAAGCAAAAGGGACACAAAATACAGTGTGACAACAAAAATTCAGTCTCGAATTAATGATTTCAATGTAAATATCAACGCATTCGTGATGCCTCGAATTATCTCAGCCCAACCAACACAGTGTCTGGACACTTCTGGTTGGTCAATTCCTCAAAATATAAAATTGGCTGATCCAGACTTCGCGAATCCAAATCAAATTGACTTATTAATTGGAGCAGAATTCTATCACAGCTTTTTATCGATTGGTCAAATCAAAATAGGTGAGGGTCTACCTGCACTTCAGAACACGGTTTTCGGATGGATATGCAGTGGCAAAGTTAGCAACGGTAATCAAAAATTACTTACCTGTGGCATGTGCAGCGAAGCTGACGACGAAGCATTGGATAATATACTTACTAAATTCTGGCAATTGGAGGAAATCAATCAAACGGATGACAAATTCACTGATGCAGAAAAGAAATGTGAAGAATCTTTTGCTCAAAATACTCACCACAATCATGAAGGGCGATTTGTCGTGAAACTACCATTTAAGGAGGATACAACTGTTCTTGGTGAATCCATGCAGATGTCGATGAATCGGTTTTTTAGTCTTGAACGTCGGCTTTTGAAGAATTCTGAACTAAAGAAGATGTACGTTGACTTCATGGCGAGAGTACGAACATCTCGGCCACATGGAAAAAATCAATCAGGATGATATAATCCATCCACATTACATTTTGCCACATCATTGTGTAATCAAGGCAGATAGTACTACAACAAAGCTTCGAGTGGTGTTTGATGCATCTGCAAGAACATCAACCGGAGTCTCACTCAATGATATCATGCATAATGGTCCAGTCATGCAGAACGAACTCTTATCCATTTTACTGCGTTTCAGGAAACCACGCTTCGTTTTTACAACAGATATTGAAAAGATGTATCGGCAGATACTAATTGATCCAAGAGATGAATATCTTCAAATCATTATCTGACGAGAGTCACCAGAAGAAAACTTGTGCTATTACAAATTAAAAACGGTAACGTATGGCACAAGAGCAGCGCCGTATCTGGCAACTAAGTGTCTACAAACCCTGGCCAGAGAGCATGCCGTTAAATTTCCGCTTGGTTCCGCTACACTCAGCAAGGATTTTTATGTCGATGACGGTTTAAGTGGCTCAGACAGTCTCACGGAGGCAATTGCAACAAAGGATCAACTTATTAAAATATTGGCGACAGCTGGTTTCAAACCTCGCAAGTGGTGCGCAAATAATGCCCAATTACTTCAAGGACTCGCTCCAGAAGATCAAGAAGTTGATCTCGATGTCAGCAGTGAGTCACATAAGACAGTAAAAACTCTAGGCCTTATCTGGCTACCAAAATCTGATCAATTTTCAATAAAAACTAACGGACCTACACACAGCAAAATAACAAAGAGGACCGTAAGTTCCTCCGAGTTGGCGCACATTTTTGATCCACTTGGATTAATGGCTCCCGTAGTAGTGAAGGCGAAAATATCTGTTCAAAGATTGTGGCAGTTAAAACTTTCGTGGGATGAAGCTCTGCCTGCTGAAATGCATACTCAATGGACCCATTTTCGTCAGTGCTTATGTGAAATAAACAATGTGAAGATTCCACGACATATATTTCATCATAAACAACCAAGGAATACTCAGATTCATGTATTTACTGATGCCATTTACATCAGAGCCGAAATGACTGATCGAACTATTTCAGTTCAGTTACTTTGTTCAAAATCACGCGTCGCTCCATTAAAAACGCAGACAATACCAAGACTTGAGTTATGTGCGGCTTTACTAGGAGCACAATTGGTAGTAAAGGTAAAAAAGGATTTGGAATATGAACATCATCCGATATATATGTGGACTGTTTCTGAGATAACATTGCATTGGATCAATTCAGAACCATCAACATTCCAAACTTTCGTTGCTCATCGTATCAGTAAGATTCAGCAATTAACACTAAAGGAACAGTGGAGGCATGTCAATACTAAACAAAACCCAGCTGATTTATTATCCAGAGGTGTAGATCCAATTTACATTCAGAAGAATGCAATGTGGTTTTATGGGCCACTTTTCCTTCATGGAAATCAAGAATGCTGGCCCCAACCATTCCGTCAGGAATTGATAACATCCGACCATATACAAGCGTAAGCCAAAAGGAAGGTACATGTGCTTACAATTTCACATGATGATGAACTAATCAAAATGATTTCTACGATAAGGCATGGAAACTCATTCATAAGGTTGCAACGAATTCTTGGCTATGTGTTGAGATTCATCAAAGGGTTACGTAATAAGAGCAAGCACAACGACATCAATTTGACACCATTAGAACTGGATGAGTCATTACTCATAATAATAAAAGCCATACAGCTTAGTGATTTCAATGAAGAACGACATCAACTCTTAAAGAAAAGGTATCTGAAGGGAAGCAGTAGTCTCCACGGACTTTCTCCATTTATCGATGATAGTGGCGTCATCAGGGTTGGAGGTCGATTCACGTCATCACATCTTACCTACGATGCCAAACACCCCATGCTGCTGCCTTATAACGATCTAATAGCTAAGCTCATAATGAAACATTTACATGAGAAGGGACTTCACTGCGGACCGCAAACATTATTAGCCCAGTGCAGGCAGCGATTTTGGCCAATAAAAGGCAAGATTATGGCTCGATCCATTGTGCAACATTGTGTACAATGCACTCGAGTACGCCCACACATGTTCAAACAAATCATGGGCAATCTACCAGCTGACAGAGTCCAAGCTCAAAAACCTTTTTTCAACGCAGGTGTGGACTTCTGTGGTCCCATATGGATACACCACAAAATTAGAGGCAAAAGACCATGCAAAGCGTACATCGCAGTGTTTTGCTGCTTCTCCACGAAGGCAGTACATTTGGAAGTTGTTAGTGATCTCACCACAGATGCATTCTTAGGCGCTTTGAACCGGTTTACGTCAAGAAGAGGTCGATATCAGAACTTATATTGTGACAACGCGACTAATTTTGTGGGCGCTAAAAATCAAATGAACGAGTTAGCTGAAAGCATTCACAGCACAAATGCTCAAAACAACATAATAAGATCCTGTTCAGCTCAAGGAATTGCTTTTCATTTTATACCTCCGAGAGCACCACATTTCGGAGGATTATGGGAAGCTGCTGTCAAATCAGCTAAATATCTATTGGTGCGAACTATTGGCAACGTGTCACTCACTTACGAGGAATTGGAAACAGTGGTAACCCAAATTGAAAGTATGCTAAACTCCAGACCAATAACACCGTTGTCATCAGATCCAAATGACCCGGCTGCCCTCACACCAGGACACTTCTTAATAGGAGAACCGCTAACAGCCCTTCCAAGTAGGTCAGAAACTACAACCAAACAATCGCTTTTAACCAGGTGGAAGCTGGTGAATCATCTAAAAAACGAGTTCTGGTCAAGATGGTCAAAGGAGTATCTTAAGGAGCTACAGTGTTGCACTAAATGGAAGGACCAATCACCTGACATCAAAGAAGGAATGCTGGTAATCATTCAAGAAGACAACGCTCCTCCGCTTCAATGGCCTCTGGGCAGAATCATCAAATGCTATTTCGGTAATGATGGAAGAATCAGAGTTGTAGATGTCAAAACGAAAATCGGGATTTGGAAGCGTCCAATACATCGGCTAGCACCATTATTGTCGGAAGATTGTTCAACCCCCATGATGCAACTTGATAGATGTGATGAAGAAAAGCCTAAAAAACGAGCAAAACTCAACATCAACTTGCTAGCCATTGCATTGCTGGTACTATTATGGATACCACTGATATCAGGGTTAGGTATCACAATGAAATCATTTAATAACACACCAGGCATTCATTTCGAACACAAAGGAGTCATAAAAAGATCACAAGCAGAATGGAAAATCATAGCATATTATGACTTAAGTCCATTGCAGCAGGAGTTTGAATTTATTGAAAATGGAACCGAATCCTTAGCGAACGTGTGTAAGTTGATGAATGGATATAATCACTGCTGGACGTTAGTTGAACAGTTCAAGGCAGCGAGAAATGAATTGTTGTCTGCAAACATAATGCAGATCAACAAAAGAAAGAAGAGAGGCGCAATTGATTTAGTGGGTAACATTGCGAATGCAGTATTCGGCGTTTTGGACTCAGAATACGCTAAAAATATGGCGCAGACGATTCAACAACTAAAAAATGACGACAAACATTTGCTTAACCTTTTAAAAAACCAAACTTCAATTTTAGATTCTACTCTAAATATCATGAAACGAAATCAGCAGCAGTATCAAACAACCTTTGAATTAACAGTCGAGCGATTGAACGATGTAAAGGCAAAAATGTTAGAAGAGGACAAGGAAATTTATAATTTAAAACTCCACCAACTTTTCACTGCGATTTCAACTCAACTATTAAGTGTAACAACAAGTATTCAATTTTACGAATCAGCAATTTTAGGAGTGTTGACCGACACAAATCATGGAAAAATCAGTCCACTTCTCCTGACGCCAAAGCAACTCATGAATGAGGTTACTACAATGAGGGAACATCTCAGGTCAACAATGCAGTTGCCGGTTAACATGAGCAACATTTCTGAGCTATATTCTCTTATGACAGTCAGCAGCGGTTTATTTGATAACAAAATGTTGTTTCAAATAACTCTACCACTAATCAATGATCAGTCCTTTGATTTATTCGTTGTTATTCCCGTTCCAGGGATCATAAACGGAGAATACGTGACAATCACACCATGCACGTCTATGATGGCATTCAATACTCATAGGAATGGATACTTTCCGATTTCAGAAATACAGTTGTCACAATGTGTGTCTTCAAAAAATGATGTCTTCATCTGTTCAGATACACAAGAAATATATTCTCTTGAATCAGGCAAGTGCACTTGCGAAGTAAATCTATTTAATAATAGTACATCATCTTGCACTTGGCAAAGTTTCACAAGTAATACCTTATGGATCCAGGCTGTTGCACAAAATCAATGGATGTTCGTCGCAAGAAACCCTGTAAAGCTAAACGCAGTATGTGACAATGAGCATTCTCAGGTGAAATTGCAAAATACAGGTTTACTTGAGCTCCCACCAGGGTGCATACTCTCACATCATACGGCAACAATAACCAGCCATTACACAATGACTACTCGCTTAAAATATTCCCACACAAGCTTCCATTCAAGCCCAATAGGGACAGCGATTCCTCGGCAATCATCTCTAAAGTTGAAAAACATCAGCATGGAGACAGCTAATGATGAAATAACTAGTTTGAAGGCATCTTTAAATATGATAAGGTCTCAGGAAGAACTGCCGAACAATACACTATCGCAGCACCAACACCATTTCATTGTGGAATATATGGCACTTGGTCTCAGTATGCTCATATTCTGCAGCATAATCGGTCGATATTTATTCCGAAGAAATACACACCGGCACAGAATTGGTACACCCCACCCACAACCACGAAGACGAGTTCAAGAGCAACATGCAATGTCTGAGTTCGAAGTAGCAGAATAGGATTGACTGGCGTCAATCGGGGGCAGAATGTCCAATTTGGACATAATAATGATCAGTCTAAATCTTGTATTTTAAATAATATATTTTAAATTATATATTTCATATTAATAATATTCTATTATTTTTGTTTTGTTGTCAAAGCAAATTTTTATTCTCATAATGTTAATGACTTGATGTCTTAGCCTTGAACGGTGGGTTAAGATATCAAAATTTATCAAAACAACAACAACAGTTGTATATCACACGAGCACACTTTGCTCGTCATATGAAACTGCAGATAAGCCATGCATTTAGCATGTGCAATTCTTTAGTATAGAACATTATGAGAAATTAAATTTGCTTGTGCAAGGTCAGTATTGTACTTATTAAATAATAATTATGTTTGTAAAGCAAGCTGGTATATGGACTTAGTTCAAGGTTAAAAGAAAATAAGTTTATAAGCATATACCAGGTTGCTAAGGAAATTACGCAAGTAATATTCTTATTTGTCAATGCATACAATTTCCATGAGAACTGTGACCGTTCCCACGACTTAGCTGAGCGATATCTAATCGCTACTTTAATGCAGCTTAAGGTATAGAGCATTATTATAGGAATTGTATGCATCAACACCTTGCCAAATGTGTATAAAACCTCCACATTTTCTAATAAATTTATCATTCAATACAGAACAGCCCTTGCGTTTTAATTAGTTCAAGTGCTTATTAAAACTCAATTGCAAATAGGTTCAAGTGCCTAGTTGCTCAAAAATATTGTTATTGTTTGAATCCACCTGAAGTTGGTTTAAGTGCCAAATTCAGACCTTGCAATAGGAACTGGTTCAAGTGCCAGATTCCTAACCATAAGCAACACTGAATCGATTCAAGTGTCGATTCGGTTTTCAATAAGAAACGACTTATTTAACACAATCCCACTTCTGAACTTTAAATTTGGTTTAATTTAAATTTGGTTTTTTGCGTTAACTACAAAACGTTCTTTTTACATAACTTTACTTTTCTTTATTTAACTAAGAGAATATATTTATTCACGACGCAACCCAACAAAACTTCCGTTATTCTTACTTCACTCGATTGTGTCATTCGCTGTCAAAAATAGGTTAGGTGACCACATGTTGTTAAAAATTTTAAGGTGCCCAGTTGTGCGTTTCGGATGTAGGTTAACATATGTAAGAATATGAAAATATTGATATTGATGGATTTTATTAGTAAGGGAAATTTTATAAAAGTTTTCATTTTTCTTTTAAAAAAAATCACAAATTAAAACCTTGAAAATTAGTTATGAAAAAATGAGTTTTGCTCATTAATGCATAATTATTTGGCATGTATGAGCTGTGATTATCACACAGGTAAGCACAAATTTATTTTTTGCATAATAAAAAAATAATTTATGATTTTTTGATTGTAATTACAGTTATTTTACGGTTTATGTAAAACTTTTAAATCCTTATATCTAAGAAAAGAAATACATAATATTATAAGGAACTATCTAAATAAAATGTAAATTAGTACATTAGCACAATTGTATAAAAGAAATTCCATCAAATTTTCATGTATTTTATATTATATTAAAAATTTTCATAAATATAATTTTTTAAATATAAATAATAAATATAAGTTATTTAA